GCGCTCTCAAAAAGGTTAAGAACCCCTGATCTAGACCATTTTGGGTACTTACCAGTAGTCAATTTTGTACATTACTAAGATACACCAGTGTGTCTTTTTTAAATGCCTGTTTATATTCATTTTGTGAAACCAGGACAGCAAAAGTGAAATATGCACCATGATAGATGTTATTTTCACGAGCTCCGTTTGCTTTGTTGTGTTTGTCACAGGAAGTTTCAAGAGCAGGAATGCCCCCCCTCTCCTGAACCTACACGCAAGGAAAAGGACAAGAGCGGCTGTCACTGTGTGATTGTCTGAGAGGGTCACTCATTTTCAATTCATAACCAGCTGCTGTCACCAGTCCCTACTCCTGCCTTCTGACATCACTTCCTGTGTCACTCAGTACTGCCTTCTATACCTGCATGACTTACAAGAACGGCCACTGTGACAGCCTTATTCCAAGAAGCTGACTCTGTATAGACATGAAAGGAAGAACTAAGGCAACTGGCAAAGAACAAAACATTAACATCAAAATCCACAAAAGAATCCCAACACTAAGGCTGCTTCTTAAAGCGCTAGATGATTCCATTTTTGTATTTTAAAAGACTTTTGTTTGCCTTGTAGTGAGATTTGTACTTTTGAAAAGACAGAAACAAAAAGAAAATCTGGAATGTAGATGGAAAACTGTTTTTAGCTACAGGTATGCCTTATGGAGTGAGGTGTTATAATCAAGCTTCTTGTATGTCGTGCCATTTCAGTTTTACTTTAACGTGCTAATCAGCTACTGTACATAACTGAAATTTCTTGTGATTGAAAATATATTTCTAATTAAATTGCCTAAGTACAGTGATGAGGAAAAGTGAATGATGTGCCAGGTTTAACGTGTATATGTATATATACTGGTAGCCAAAAACAATGCTAACTGTAAATTCCACTGTTGGCGAATGTATTCAGTTAACTTTTATTTGGATGCTATGATTTCTTTCAGTGGCCAAATCTGCCAATTTTGTGAATAATAATTAGACTTTCTAAATGAAAACTAGCTTGAGTCCTGAAGGGCCTGGTTCCTTAACTCATTACCTCTCTTGGGTTATGTTTCCAATGACTAAACTAAACTGTCTGGCCAAACCAAGTAACAGCGCTTGGTGTTCCACATTCACATTGCAAATGAATAAATAGGTTACATTGCAGAGCCTGTGTGTGGAAACAGGAGATGCCTTTTCACAACTTCTGATGCATGGAAACCTGAGATGAACCAACTTTGTGTTTTTGTTTTAATATTTTTTTTATTGCAGTTCCTGTGGAAACAAGCTCCAGCTTGAAAATTTAGCACTGAAAAAAGCAGGCATACGCAACATAATTTTAGCTAGGGATTGGTTACCCTTGGTTAAATAGGAACTGACATTTTTTTAAGAACAGTCCTGGTGGTTTTGACTAGGCCTGATTTAGTCCCAAAGTCATATTCTTAAATTGGGACGAAAGGATCATTCCCCATATTTTACTGTCACAGCCCAGGGAGCTCTAAGCTCAGTGTGATCACACTGGGATTACCGGGGCAGAAGTTTATACTAGCTCTGAGTTTTCATCATTCGTGAGGGTTCACATCACTCTTAAGAAATTTCACTATTTGTTTTGTCTTCCTTTTTGATGTGAGTATTTCTAGATAAGGGATACAAAGAAACTATTGTAGTTTTTGTTTTATCTTCATGTAATATAAGAAAAAAGATGGAAATGATCCTTCCATTGTTGGAGATGATTAAATGTTTTTTGCTATATACTTTTATACATTATTTTCTTATCAGACTAGTTAACAAGTATTTTTATATGTTTGTAAGCGAATATGCTCTCACGGCATAACTTGTGTATATGTAAAGATGAGTATTTAATTCTCACGGTTTGTTTTTAACTGACAAGACTGTAGGCCTATGCTGCAAAACTGTGGTCCAGAACATATCTTTTCTGATACCCATCTTATCATTTGGCAATGCACAGCTGTAGCCGGCTACTCGCATGCTAAATGAACATATGTTTATCAGAGTTAACCTATCCCAGTTTCTCTGACTGTCCATTATGAGACCAGTGTGTATTTTTTTTTCCAACAAGAGCCCCTTCAGAACTTGTCCTCACTATTTGGTTTGACTGTGGATCTGTCAATTCTGTGTTCTGTAGGTAGTTGTAAAAGTTCCAAAAACACCAGAGTTCCACCTTTTGGAATCTTGAAGACTAGTGCATGACTCTTCTTCCCAATGACAAAAGTTTGTCTACATCAATGCCATGATGTGTTTTGGATCTTCTACCCCTGTATAGCTTCTGGTGGTGCTATAATAAAAAACATAATTAAGACAATTAAAACTGTTACTGATTAATTTTGCATGTTTCTGTTTTTCCTGTCCCCTTTGTGAGACATGGGCACAGTCATTTTTCTCATTATGAAATGAGAAACATAAACCTAATATTCTTGATTTCTTAATGTTGGGACGGGGACATAGCTGTAAGGCAAGTAGGCTAAACTGAATTTTCTTAAAGTCTACTTGCTTTTCTGTGTATATTAAGTGAATAATAATCTCTCGTAACTCTTCACCCTTTTGATTTCAAACTTTCAAGATTGGCTTGGACAGTTAGCTTCAGACAAGTCAGTGTCAGTGTCCACAGATCAGCTGTTTCTGGTAAGGTAAATTACAAACTGTTATACGGTTTTTACTTATTTCAAAGTCCTTAAGTCTCTGGCTCATACAAAAAAACAATTGCACACTGAAGTGCTCTGAGGTGGAACCTTTGATTGTACATAGTGTAGCTATGATTTTGAGCATGCTTTTGTAGTATTGTAATTTTCTTATTCACACAAGCACCATATTTACAAATGACCTATACGACCGCATACTATGCGGTGTGTTTTGTCGGCCTGTGATATCTATTTTCTGGTGTATAGATCTGTGATATCCTTTCATATTTGTCCACTATATCACCTGGTAATTAGAATTATGTAAGAAAGCTGAAATATCTTGACTTTCAGTTTTATAGATAAAGACATTAAAATTTTCATTAAAAGGATGTAACCCCTTCTAGATATCTAATGAATTGCCCTTTTCTTTTATGTTTAGATTTGGTAAGGTTCTCAGAGATATAGTTGTTTTAATGACTGGTAATCCAATAGGGCTGCACACTATTTCTATCATGGGTATAATACTTTTATCATTCAAAAACTTTTGTTTCAGCTGAGTTGTTTTATTGTTGAAGTGTTGGCGTTTTATATAAACAAACAATTCCATGTTTTTTAATCTGTAGAAAAACAGATTATTTCCTTTTGGTCGTATTCTTGCATGGACTAATTGTAATATAAACAGAATTATCAGTAGTTACATGTTATGTTGATTGTATTCTAAATAAATATAATGTAATATATAAAATAAATATAATGTAATATAAATATATGATGATATTCAATTATAAGTAATTGTAAAATTCACATCATCTGGACCACATTGTGTGGATTATGATTAGTTTTGCTTTAAAAATCTGGAATCAATAGTAGTGAATACTTAAGGAGCAATATTTCATGTTTTAAGAATGATTTTCAAAACCTGCTCTTAACTGCAATATCTAACCATACTGAGCACTCTATAATACAGAGAACATATGGCAGTTTTTTAATATGGGTTGACTTTGAATCTCACAGAAGATAACTAAATCTCCACAATTTGTTATCTCTGTCTTTGTATGAAGCCTTCTGTATACTATGTACATATCACTAGATGTGGTATATTTTCCTTGTGTTTAAACGAGTGTTGTTTTTCGGTTAGGTTTGTCCTAATTCTGCTTGCTCTTCAGACTTGGTAACACACAAAGACCAATCAGATGATATCAACTCAAAACCTAATAGGTTCTTGTGAAATACTGCATCAGAGGGAGTTCCTGAGGGACATAGCAATTGATCTTTGATTCAAATGATCTGCCCTGTGCAAAACCTTCTATGCATTCTCCTCAATATACAGTATGGAGGTAACTCGCAGAAGTTTTTGATTCAGTCAGACTTCTGTAAACTGAGATTGCATGAAGAAGAGGCTGTGAAGTTGTATGTAGCAGCAGCAGTACTGATATTACATATTCTTTTTAGGTGATCAAATGTAGACATAGTAGTGCCTGGCTGTTCATGTGGCCATTTGTTAGATCCACATACAAGATTGGTTTCTCATTCTGTTTTTGTTAAGTTTTCAAAAGGGAAAGGCACATTCACTGCACATTGCTGTCAACTTCTGTAGCAGCTTTGGATTCAGAGGCTGTGGGCAGTTACTGTATAACCTGACAGAAAATGATTGCGGTCAGCAGAAAGACAAGACTGAGGTAGCCTTGGTGTCCCACAGGAGAATTGCCAGAGTGACCTTTGTCCTGTCCACTACACTCTTATTGAGCACTTACAAAAGCTCGGAACATGTACGGAACCTTAGTTCCTATTTTAGGTTTCTGATCCTCATACTATTGATACACAGCTCCAGCTGCTGGGGACTATAATCCACTGAGTTTTAGAGATGTCTTCATATTAATAACTTTCTGAAAGCTGGGAAACTACCAAGTTCAGTTAGGAACATAAGTCATTTTATTTTATCTTTTATATTTATATTTTAGACAGATACATATTTAGGCTTTAGATCATCTAAAGTTTATATTAATCAATATCATCATCATCACCATCTTGTGGGTAGAAGTTTTACCTCCTTGATCTTATCTCGGAAGCAAAGCAAGTTGGGATTGATCGCTACCGGGAAGAAAGAACTCCGAAGAGAACCATGTTGCGGGTGGTTGGTGGTCAAGTAAATGACGCTCTTTTCCTCTGGATCACAATTTCCAAACCAATTCTAGTGTAATGGGGTACTGAGCTGTAGGACATGCCACTGTTTGGATGGGAGGTTAAACCAAACCAAAGTTCCTTTGAAAGGTCATTTTAACTTCCTATGGCACTTCATGGAAGAAGAGTGTTAATCTTGGTGTTCTGCTGAGGGGTTGTTGGGGCTGCTGGTGTAGAATGACTGCCTCTTATTACCCAGCTACTGCAGGTGCTGCACTTCAATAATGAGTGAAGTGGACCCCTTGCTGTGTGTACAATGCTTTGGGATTAAAGCACTATATAAATGCAAGGAATGATTATTACTGTTGTTGGTACATGTCAGAGCTTATCAAAATTGTTAAATTACAAGTCTCACAGTTCCCTGTTCTTTACTTTTAATACTGCACAGAATGCCGCATGTCGTTTTAGACCAAATCAATCCAGCAGAACTAGAAAACCGTATTTCACATTGGTATTTAAAAACAATAAAAAAGTGTTGCACATCTGAAAATAAGCAAAATGCACCATTGCTAGGTGAATGTGATTGCTGTTTTTCAATGTTTACTTTTACCCTCTTGTAGAACAGTGTGCAGAATAACTGCGGAACCTCGCTGATGGTTACATTTCATGACCGTAGGAAGCTGTGCTTGTAGTTCTTCACATCCTAAACTTAACTTAAACTTATATAGCGCTTTTCTGGACACTCCACTCAACGCACTTTACAGGTAAAGGGGACTCCAGCACCACCAGTGTGCAGCATCCACCAGCATCCACCTGGTTTTCAATGTTTTACCAGGCAGAAAAGTAAATTTGAACATTTCTCTTTCTGTGTTGGTAGTATTACTCATTTTCCTCTTAATGACATAGTTGCCTGAAATCAGATTAGAACTACAGCATGAGTCTCAAAATTAATATTAGTACTATGTTAAGAATTGAATATGTAAATGAAGACAGATCATTTTTATTAATAAAGATGCTGTGCCTGTGAAAGTTCAGCATTTTATAGTATGGTATATCACCATATATGTATGATTTTGGTTTCAAACTAAATAAACTCTAGCACCAACATCACTAAATAATATTAATTTTTTGATTATCAGGCAATTCATAGTACAGTATATCCATAATATGTACTGTAGATGGGTGCTTTTTTCAATAAAACATAAAATGGATGAACTGGATACAATGTTCTTAAGAGAACTGTTTCAAAGTCATGAAACATCATGTCATGTCACAATCTTGTCATCAGAATTGTGTTTTTACCTGCCAAATCAAAGGGAAGGAATATCTTTAACATAGACATTAATGACACAGAGTGTCACTGTGATGCATATTTGTTATTACCAAACATCTGATTACATTATATTACTTAATGTATGACTCTACAGTGTTATCATTTTATTCCGCCCAAGAAAGGAGTCGCTGGTATATTGGTTTCTCTGCCCTTAAAGTAGCTATGCAATGATTGAATCTCTCTGTAACTTTAGAAGATGGCATTCGAAAGAAAGACGGGAAAAATAGACGGCCTTTCAAGTAATTTTATTTCACCACTTAAATAGGATCCCATTACAGTTACCTACTGTTTTTTCCTTCTAAATCCATTATTTAAAGCCCTCCTGGGGTAATTCAGTTTGCTGTTTACATATTAGATGGAACCCCTACCCCATCATTTCACCTCTCCCCCAGCTGTTGGGCATCTGTGCCTTTGGCTTACTCACTTAAGCTTTGGATTTGGATGTCTCGGGGGGGGTTTCTGTTAAGGGCTGTCTGTTTTCCTCATAACAATTTGTCTTTGAGTCAACTGACACTACTGGTGGCTTTAGGAAGTAAACAAATCCGGGACTCCAGTGATTTCCAGCACTCATCAGTATCTTCTTTGAGGAATCTCTGTTTGCTTCTCTGTCTGCAGCTGGCAAAGCTCATCTCCGGAGAACATTCATTCTAATTGGCTTTCAACTGTTATTATTTCAGTCTTTGTGGGATCAGTATTCTAACGTGGGGCTCCATTCATGCCTCACAACTGACCTTCATCCCATTTTGTCCATATTTGTATAACAGAAAATGACATCTTGACCTTGCAAAGAAAGTCATCTGTGTAATTGATAATCACCTTCACCCCATTCTCCATTCAGTGAAGTTTAACCTTTCATTATATTAAATTACAAAGCCTTCCTTGGACACCAGCACTGTTGTTTTCACAAAAAGAAAATATTTGTGTCTTTCCTGCTCAGATGTGGTTTTTCACCTGAAAAACACTACTAACAGTACCATAATTTAGAAATACCCCACTGGCTTCTAAATTTTTCCTGTTTTTTTTCCCCCGAGCATGTTGCCCTAATGGGTTGTGTTGTTATTAACATCTCATGGTGTCCTCAAAAGTCATCACCATGTTCAAATAACCACAGAAAAAGTCATTCTGTACAGAAAATGTGTGTTGACAGCAGAATCAAAACAGTGAATAACATCCTTCCATTTAGAGGTGTTTATAATAAACGGTCACACCGGCAAATATAATTACACTGATCAATTTCCTTTCTTTTCTGTCTCAGTCCCCAAGGTCTGGATGAGTTCATTAATCTTTTCATCACCTTCCTATTTTATTTATAAGACCTTCAGATTGTTCCCGCTCCTTTTTGATGCTCTCCCACCAATTTCCCAGGTGTGTTCATGCTGCCATTAGAGTCATCCCTAGACATACATGTCTCAATTTTTCTCTCCGCCATCTTTGAAAAATAGTTCAAGATGAAGGATGAGGCCCTGTCTAGAACGAAAGAGAAAGCCGCTAAACCGAAAACAGAAGAAAGTAAAGCATCAGAGGAAAAGGAATTTGTGTTTGATTTATTTGACTAAGTAGTTTGTATTGTATTTGTATTGTGCTTGGCTGCTCTCCTGTGTACTTTAGATGTGTGATGATGGAAATCCCAGAATAACAATACAGTATTCCTTATTCCTCACATTTGTACAGGGGTTTTCATGCAACAGGATTCGTGTTGACACAAAGGTGGTGACTCATTTTATCCACCACAGAAGAACAGGACCCTCCTGGGTGATGGATGTCAGCCATTCTTCTCCAGCAGCTCTTCACAAAGCAGATACGGTGGAAGAGTGAGACATGTCTTCATCAATTCAATAAAGGGTGACATTTAGGAAAGCTATCCTGAGAAGGCCAAAGCAGAATTCAACCAGGACCCTGGGATTTAGGCCTTACTACTCTTGCAAACAATGCTATTTAATAAATTAATG